GAGGCAGTATATTAATTGTAAAAATAAAAAGAAAAGTTATCCCAGGTTGTGCTGCTTGGGGAAAGATTCAGGTAGGCAGCCGTGTTGGTCTGACGCAGTTGAAATATATATAAAAAAATTAAAAATTGTCCAGTAGCACCTTAGAGACCAACTAAGTTTGTTCTTGGTATAAGCTTTCTTGTGCATGCAGACTTCTTCAGATGCTTGGGGAAAAGAATTCTCCCCCTAGCTGCTCTGAGAACAAATTTATAGCTTCAATCATACCCATATAGCTCTGCGTGTGTGTAGCCCACTAAAGTCAGAAAGGAATTGATTTCACTTGCTCTCCAAAACAGCTGCTGTGTTGGTCCATTGGGTAAGCCGGCCAGAGTGGTTGAGGAAACCCAGCCAGATGGGTGGGGTATAAAGAATAAAATCACCATCATCATGATTAAGGTATTTATATGTATGAGGTGTTAGGGGAGGGGTAGTACCTTTGTGGGGGACACATCCTGCTCCTTTGGTGCCCCCCCTGCACTCAGCTCTCACTTGCAGCTCCTAGAAGCTGTCAGCATGTGACAATTCTGGGCGCCACAATTTAAGAAGGATATGGACAAGCTGCAACGAGTGCAGAGGAGGGCAACCAAGATGATCAAGGGGTCTGGAAACCAGGCCTTATGAGGAACGGTTGAAGGAGTTGGGGATATTTAGCCTGGAAGAGAGGAGACAAGAAAGGAGATTCCGACTCAATCTCAGGAAGAACTTTCTGACAGGAAGAGCTATTTGAGAGTGGAAGGGACTCCCTTGGGAGGTGGTGGGCGCTCCTTCCTTGGAGATTTTTAAGCGGAGGTTGGATGGCCATCCGTCAGGGATGCTTGAGATGAGATTCCTGCATCACAGTGGGTTGGGATACCTTCTAAGTCTACGATTCGATGACAAGAGCCACACCCTGTGAAAGAGCCTTGACTGGCTGGTTAAACCAGGTGAGGGCAGCTAATAGGCCTCAACCCCCTGGCCAGTCAGGGCCCTCCCCTGGACGTCAAGACAGGCTCCAGCAGATTAAGTGGACAAGACCAGATGGAGGTTTTTGCATGTGTTGTAGAGGGAAGTGAAGGGCAGGTGGTGCTTGTACACCTGGGAACGGAGCCCATCTAGAAGAAGGAAAACTCTGATCCAAAACCTCCACTGCCTCGAGGGAGAAGTAAAACCTACACAAATCTGGAGTGGAGTCTCTAAGACAACTGGATGGCACCTTGTGCACATCCTTCCTGCAACTCCTGCAGCCAAATGTCTTGGTCTGCTTCCCTTTGGACCCCATCAGTGGCAGCCAGAAGGGGGTCTTGTGGTCTGGGCAGCCCAGGACCCCCAGGACCACTGGCCAGGCCTGCGCCCCAGGGAGGTCACAGCGTTTAGACTTCACCCCCAGAGTGGCAAGCCATTGTCTCTCGAGACAGATGGATGCCAGTAACATATATTAGCACGACTAAGTTGTTTTCTTAAAAACCAACCATGTGAAGAATAAAACCAAAATTCATCATAAAACCAAATAATCTGAAACACTACATTAAAATGCCTGCAGGAATATGGAAGTCTTTGCCATGTGCCTTACATTCAGCAAGGATGGTGCCTATTTCATCTCAGGTGGGATGGAGTTCCACAGGCTTGGGCCTGAATTAATGGCTTCTGGTCATTGTATGCCATGCGGGATCACCAACAGAGACTCCTCCAAAGATCCCAGGGATCACTAATGGGTCAGCTGATCCTTAAAATAACCTGGACCCAAGTTGCTAAGGGCCTTGGAAATGAATACAAGAACTACAACAGACATTGTCCAGCCCCAGCCAGCACAGCTCTTTGTCAAGCCTCGTTGAAACAAGGATACAAGCTAGACGTGTTTAGAATGGTCAGATTCCAACCCCTTTTGTACTTATGGCAAACACTCCCTATTCCCCCTCTCCCACAATTATATGTATATTAGACACATAAAACATGCACTGCAACAGCTTTGTAAATAAGCCCACAAAGGTTATAAGTCTGAAAAAAACATTAGCCTACAGGGGACTGGATGAGCACGGAGGAGGTCTTCCTTCTTCCAGCAGACCACCAGATGAAGGATGGGTGTCCTCCCCCTCCCCAGCCAACCTGCTCACTAACCTGCATGGAATTTATTGACACCTATGGGAAGGGAGAAGAGAAGCTTCAGGAGTAAACCCGGCACAAATCTGGAGTGGAGTCCCTAAGACAGTAGGATGGTGCCCTGTACAACAGCTGGTGCCCAACGTCTTGCTCTGCTTTCCTTTCGATCCCATCAGGGAAGCAAAAAGGGGGGGGTCTTCTCATCTGGGCAGCCCAGGACTTCCAGACGCTCTGGCCAGGCTTGTGTGCCAGGGAAGTCACTTTGGTGCTGTTAACGCAGCAGTTTGCAAAGAGCTCCCCCCACCTTGTTCTCCTTTTACACACACAGTGGAGGAGCATATAAAGCAGTCTCTGTCGTCTGAAGTGGTGCAGCCCCTCCTCCCACCTCATTCCACTGCACATATGGGATCTTGGGACAATGCGGACTTTGGACCCCACAATGAAATATGATGGAAAGGCTCACTATTGCCATTCCGTTCTCCTGAAAGTCAGCTGCTCGTTATGGCCAAACCTGACCACCCAGTGCCAGAGGTTCCTGCCACCAGTGGTAAGGATGCCCCGGTGGGAGACCTGCTGGAGGAGGAGGAGGTAGTGGAGCCATCCTACCGTCCTCAAGAACACTGGCACCGAAAGGTCCTGGCCAAAGAGCAGCAACAGAATGTGGACTCACACAGTCATCACACCGATCTGGAGGAATCAACCCAAGAACTTATTTGCCACCAGCAGCTGCAGTTAGGCTTTGGTCCGTGTGGTGGGGACTAGCTCATAAGATGTGTGCCTCTTGCAAGAAACAACACAGGTCTCTGGCTCCTGATTCTGGGTCCTTCCCCCACCTCCTTCCTGTGTTGCCCCTTGCCTGGACTTACAGCTGAACGATTCCCCGGACCTGACCATGGCCTGCTGAGGCAATGCTGCACTGTGAATCCCATTCTCTTGGGAAGTGTTTGGGACTGAGACCCTAGACCCAGAGAACACCCCACGGAGCAGGACAATTATAAAACACCAGTATGCAAAATACTTTTATTCCAGCCCCTAAAATATCAGGCAAGGGGCACCTGTGGCCATCAATCCCATCATTCGTAGATATTTGGAATGAATGTTGTAGCAGGGGTCTGGAGTCTAACAACATCTGCAGGGCCGCTAGTTGCCTCCCCTGTGTTAAACCCACCCCACCGATGTGAGGATACTGATTAGCAGCTACCTGATAGTTCTGGGTGACAGTTGGCTGGGGGGTTGGCTCTGGTTGCCGCGTCCCATAACCGTAGTCTTGGGTTGACGGTGGCTGGTAGCCCCCATATGCTGCAGATGCCACAGACCTGGCTGCCTGTATGGCTGGAGTATAGGCGGGGGCCACAGCGTGCTCTATCGCAGGGCTCTGCTGGACGGTGTAGCTGGCTGCTGTCGCGGGATGGCAGTAAGCTGGAGCAGGCTGGGCACTGAAAAGGAAGACGACAAGTGAGAGACTGATGAGGTTGAAAAAAGTGGTGGCCGCTAAGGGAAAATGGCACTGCGGTCGTCTGCAAGCGATTCCCACATAGCCAGCTTGGAGTTGCCAGGCTTCGGGTCACGTACAACTTCAATAATCCTGATTTTCCATGCAATCTTGGGCTGATGGGACTTATAGTCCAAACATCTGGAGGGCACCAGGTTGGGCATATTTCAGAAATGTGGATGTCTGTCCTCTCAGCTGCCCTCTCCTTCTTACCATAATCGGAGGAGGGGCGCCAGCCTCAGCCTCCCTGGCAGGGCTGCTGCACCGGCAGCTGAAGCGAGCCATGCCCAGCCATCTGTCCCGCGAGCCTCCTTGACCAGAACGGGGATGCCCCCCCCCGGCCTACCTGCCCGGCTTGCTGGGAAGAGCCGCTCCGGCTCCCGCCCCCCCCCCCGCCGGCCCACCTGGCCGGGCTGTTGTGCAGGAGCGCGCCGAGGAGGACCTGCTGCCCGCCTACCTGTACGGGGCTCCGGCGCCGGCCGCGAAGCCGTAGTAATTGCTGGCCGCCATCTTGGCGTCTCCGCTGGGCGACCGGGGGGGGGGACGGGGGGGGGAGCGCGGAGGGCGCGCGAGGCACGCCGGGAAACGGGCGACGCGCGAGCGAGCGAGCCGGCCGGCATCCGAGCGTGCGTGTGACGTTGCCCCGCCTCTCTCAGGAACAAGCCCCGCCCCTCCCAGCTCGGCTTTGAGCGCGACTCTCAGAAGAGTCGAAAGGGGGCACCTCGGGGACCGTGGCCTCCAAGGAAAAGAGGGACGTCCCGCTTCTCAATAATCAGAATGATAATAATAATAAGGAAATGAAGAAAGTTCATTGGAAGTCCTCAGGTTAAAACAGGGCAGATGTTGCCGCCGGCGCCATTTTGGGAGAGGGAAGCAGTCACCGGAAGCGCCTCCATGTTGGAAGTGGAGGGGGCGGGATCTCGGCGGACTCAGACGGCTCTTTTCGTGGCTCTTGGCCAATCACAGGTCGGATTGTGGGCGGGTCCAGCAGTTGGACTAGGGGTCAATGGTCAGAGGCCAGCAGTTCCGTTTTCGGACTGCCCACCTGCCCGTGTCTCTTTCTGGGACCTTTTCCCTAATGAAAATGGCAGTTCCGGACAAACTGGGGTCAAAGAGGACCCTTGAGGGGGGCCAAAGTCCGGCAGAGCGGAGGCGGACACCAGGACTTGACCCCTGCACCCCAAAAGACCCCCTGGGAGGCCAGGAGCCCGCCTTGTGGGGCTGCCCTGGCCTCCCAGGCGCCTCTTCTGCTCTGGCGGAGCCTCCTGGGCCAGAGGCAGTCTACCTGGGCTGCTCCTGAGGGAGCTTGGAAGCAGCGCTCAGGGAAACGCTGCGAGGAGAATCATTAATAATAATAATAATGATGATGAGAAAGCAGAGGAAGGCCCAGGCCCCTCAGGCACTGTTGGGACTCCTCCCTGAGGGGATTTGGGGGGCCCCTCCGGCCTTCCTTCTTCGCAGGGGACCCCCAACGAGGCGCCCACTTCACGAGGGAGACCAGCGCCACCCAACGGCAGGCTAGGTCCCACTGCCCTCAACCAACATGGCGGCGGTGGCGCGTCTTTTGCCCTTTCTTCCCCCTCCTGTCCGTTCCCTCTTTCCCGTCATGCCCCCCGCTCAGCGCACGCGCCCAGCAGCCACATGAGCAATAAAAATCTCGGCAGCGATAGGTCGGCCTCTTGGCCAATCCCAGGTCGGGTTGTGGGCGGGCCAGGCTTTTGGCGCTTTTTCTCCTCAGCGTCTCCCGCGCCCTTTACGCGAAGGAAGCGCGTGAGTTTGGTCGTCTTTGGGAGCCAGCAATATTAAAGGATTACCATCATTGATTTTTAAATTATTATTTTTGTTATTATTATAAAAGGCTTAGGGAAGTTTGTCCTTATTCTGCTGGGAGCAGCCCACAGAGGCTGGGGAAGGGGAATAAATGAGGATTATCATTCATTTATAAATTGTTATCATTATTATTATAATTGTTCTTACTATAAAAGGGTTAGGGAAATTTGTAGTTTTTTCAATTTTTAAAATATTCTGTTGGTGGCTGGGAAATAGTAAGAAATTATTATTATTATTAAATGTTAAATTATTTTTATTTTAATAAATCACACCCACCCAAGTGGGACATGGCCTCTTCCCCCCTAAGCCTTTAAAGTATAGTATTTTTATTTATTGGAATTGGGGTCGGGGAAGCTCCCCTTGGCTGCAGCAACTCCAGGGCGTGGGAAACCGCTGAGGAGAATCGGCTGAGAAACAGCTGGGAGGAGAAAAAGCGGGAAAGGGCTGGCCCCGCCCACCGCCCGGCCTGGGATTGGCCCAAAGGCCGACCTATCGCCGTCGAAGGCCCTCCCCCAAAATGGTGGCGGTGGCGCCTCTTCTGCCCTTTCTCCCCCCCCCCCCCGGTCTTGCCCTGGTCCAAAATGGCCGCCCTAGGTACCCCCTCGCTCGACGCACGCGCCCAGCAGCCGCTGCAGCAGTAAACTCGGCGGCGATAGGTCGGCCTTTGGCCAATCCCAGGTCGGGCTGTGGGCGGGCCAGGCCTTGGGCGCGTGTTCTCCTCAGCGTCTCCTTCGCCATTTTCGCGAAGGAAGCGCGTGAGGTTGGTCGAGTTTTTAAGACTCTCTTTTGTTGGGAGCGGGCGGGAAATAATAATAATCACAATTTGTTTTTAAATTATTATTATTATTATTATGAGAAAGGCTTGGTTGAGGTTTGTAATATATTACGTTTTGTCGAATTATTTAATATTCTGTTGGGGAAGGGGAAGAAATGAGGATTATCCTTCATTTTTAAATTGTTAGCATTATTATTAATATTTTTATTATAAAAGGGTTAGGGAGATTTGTAGTATATTATGTTTTATCGCTTTTTAAATTTTCTGTGGGTGGCTGGGAAAGAGTAATACATTATTATTAGCATTAAATGTTACATCATCATTATTATTATAATTATTATACTATAAATTGCACCCACCCAAGTGGGACATGGCCTCTTCCCCCCTAAGCCTTAACATTATAGTATTTTTATTTATTGGAATTGGGGCAGGGAAGCTCCCCTTGGCTGCAGCAACTCCAGAGGATCTGGCTGTGAGTTCAGATCTCCATTGCTTCCCCCCTCAGGCCGCCTTTAATGTATTGAAAACTGTACCTGAACAGTGTATTGTTCAGATGAAGCACTGCTTGAAGGGGTGCTTTTGTAACCAGCTAATTCCTCAAGATCCTAATTCTTTCACATTACTATTTTTATTATTATTAAATGAACCCTTGTGGTTCCTTCGCATATTCCTGCCTTGCAGCGGGTTGGACTGGATGACCCTTGGGGTCCCTTCCAGCTACATGCACCATTATGTGATTCTTGGGGAAGTGCTTCAGAAAGAAGAAACAAGAATAAACAAGAAAAAATAAAGGAGAAAAACACATTTCTTCCAGTTAGTCGTACACTGGCTCCTTTCCCACTTGATTCTTTCTTCCACTGCAATCTGTGCTGGACATATTATATATTTGCTTTGACGTGGACCCCTCTTTCCCTTCTTATGAAAATAATTGACATTATTGATATTTCTTAGGTCTGCTCTGCTGAATTCCTGTTCTGAAAAGGAGGAGGAGGAAACTTCGCGTGATGAAGGGAGAAGAGGAGATGGAGGAAAAGTTATGAAGGTAAAGGGGAAAAAATAGAAAGACATATTAATATATAACATTTAAGAACATTTTTCAACAACCCCACTCCTGATATACCACACCCACCCAAGTGGGGCTTGGCCTCATCCCCGCTAACCACCACAGTACAGTACAGTAAAAATACAGTAAAATAATTTTATTTATTTGATTGGGGTAGGCCAGCACCTCCTGGCTTCACCCATGTTGGTGAGGTTTGTCTCCTATTCCTTTTCTTGTTAGGCTATCTAAAGGTGACAAAGCAACGTGTTGAAAACTTAATTTATTCAGGTGAACCATTGCTTTAACCAGGTAATTATTCAAGGCACCGATTTTTCATCTATCGATTTATCCACATAATCCAACCGGAGATTAATTAGCATCCAAAAGTGGTACACTTGCACGTTAAATTTTAAGAAATGTTTTGGAAGAGGCATAAATTAAAAAAGATAATTAATTTGCAAGGAAGCCCAGTGAATTAGAGAGGCAGTGAGCTGGCTGATTTGTCTAATGGAGCATCCAAAACCCAGTTTGGGTCTAGAAGAGACCCAGTTTGCCCCCTCCCCCAGCCTTAATGGCAACCCTCCATTGCTTTCTGTTTGATTTTTTGAGCAGATACTCTGAATTGAACTGCAAAAGAAGAAATGGGTATCAGCCCCTACTGTAGTGGGCAGCACTAAAAGCCGTTTGAGTAATTCAGATCAATAAAGTCGGAATATTTACAAACCAGCAACTTGACACCAGTTCTGGACACTTGCAGCAGCTTGCAATGTTAAGAGAGGTGCTCTAAAGAAAAGCACTTTCTACATTTATGAGCCTTCAGAGTAGGCTCATGGTTTTTCCTTTGCCTGGAGGTATAAATGTTGTTAGCATATGTGCAAACACCCCGAGAACTCCAGGCCTGCTCCTGACTGTCGAAATGCTCTGGGAGAGGCTGTAAGCAGCTCTTCCTCTGCTCTCAGTCAGCAAAAGGGGATGGCAAGGGTGCTTCATGGCATACCTGAACTTGCAGCTGCAGGAGAAGTGTGGATCCCTCAGCCATACCTAAATAGCCTTCAAAGTGCCATTTAAGACTGCAGCATCTAGCTGTGCTGTGGACACAAAGGTTGTGAGGTTGATCCCCGTAAGGGACACCTGCAAATCCCTGCCTTGTAGCAGGTTGGAGTGGATGACCCTTGGGGTCCCTTCCCAATATATACTCACCCACTCACCCAACATCATGTGATTCTTTGGAAAGTGCTTCAGAATACAGTTTTGGGGGGGTGTTTCTTTGTGTCAGCCCTTAAAAATCAACTGTGCAATCTGCTCCACAGCAGGGGCGAAGCAAAGATTTAAGACTGTCCCCCGCTATGCATATAGGCTGGGAGCCCCAATGGCAGGAGACTAAGTGGGCTGAGCCCCTGCAAGAGGGGCCAAAACCAAAAGCCAATTGAATCTTTTACATTGACAAATACTGGCACGTATATATGCAATTTGGAAATTTGCAGCAGTTTGTAATGTTAAGAGAGGTGCTCTAAAGATAAGCACTAAGCACGTTCCCTTAGTGCAGGCTCATGGTTTTTTCCTTTTCTGGAGGCATAAATGTTCTTAGCAGATGTACAATCCCCCCGAAGGCTTCAGGCCTCCTCCTGACTGTTGAAATGCTCCTGGGGAGACTGTAAGCAGCACCTCCTCCGCTCCCAGTCAGGAAACGGGGATGGCAAGGGGTGCTTCATGGCACAACTTGCAGCTGCAGTTTAAAGTGCCTTAAAAGTGCCATTTCATAGGGCAACCTTGACAGCACAACCAAGGTTGGTGGTGGTTCTGCATATTCCTGCCTAGCAGCGCGTTGGGCTGGATGACCCTTGGGGTCCCTTCCAGATGTAGACATATACACATATACACCATCATAGGATTCTTTTGGAATGTGCTTCAGAAAGCATAAACAGAAATAGCATTCTTTTCAAGTTATGGGACGCGGGTGGCGCTGTGGGTTAAACCACAGAGCCTAGGACTTGGCAATCAGAAAGCCGGAATTTCGAATCTGCGCGATGGGGTGAGCTCCCGTTGCTTGTTCCCTGCTCCTGCCAACCTGGCAGCTTGAAAGCACGGCAAAGTGGAAGTAGATGAATGGGTACCGCTTCGGCGGGATGGTAAACGGCATTTCCGTGCGCTGATCTGGTTCACCAGAAGCGGCTTAGTCATGCTGGCCAGTAAAGCGAGATGAGGGCTACAACCCCAGAGTCATCTGTGACTGGACCTAATGGTCAGGGGTCCTTTTGCCTTTAACAAAGGTCAGAAGTTTTAAGTCTGCTGTTGTAAGTGTAGGCGTTGGGGTCTGGGTCATTATTAGGGTCGGGGTTAGCGGTCAGGGCCTCCCCCTGACAGTTGAAATGCTCCCAGGGAGGATGTAGGGGAGGTGTGGATCCCTAAGCTATACCCAAGCAAACTTTAAAGTGCCATTTAAGAGGGCAACATTTGCTGCACAACCAAGGTTGCAGGATTGTTCCCCGTAAGGGACTCCTGCATGTTCTTGCGATGCAGCGGGTTGGACTGGATGACCCCTGGGGTCCCTTCCAGAGGTTTATATACCATCATTATTCTTTGGAAAGGGCTTCAGAAACAAGAAAGAGAAATAGCGTTCCTTAAAGTTAGTTGTATGATAGGAAAGTCGCCTCACTTCCTGTGAGCTCCCTTATTATTCCTTCACTTTAATTTGAGCTTGGTAGACCCTGTGCCTGTTTTTACACGGACCCCACTTTCAGTTCTGAATAAAATCTGCCCCCTGTTGTTTCTCTGGTCTCTGCGGCGTGCTGAATTCCTGATCCAAACAGCTCCTTTAACCAAACACCTGATTCGCCCAGCAGCGTGGCAGCGAAAGCAAAGAGAAGAAAAAGAGGCAAGGCAGCAGTGGAAAAAGATGGGTTGCCTGCATGGGCTCTGCTTCATTCCTTAATGCCGAATGTCACATCTGCCTAAGTCCACTTCCATTCACCGGAAACGCTTCTTAGCAGCAAGGAGCAAAGGGAATGTTGGGAAATACCTAGCTATCTCTCTAAATCGGTAAGACCGTTAGTCCTTTCCAGAGGTGCAGCCTGCCTTCTCCAAAGGTGGTTTGGAGTCTCTTTGGTTGCGGTGTCTCTTTTCCTATCCTCACACCTGTAACCCTGGCAACCTCCCAGAGTACAGTCCCTATTCCTCGATGGTCAGGGAGATTGCACTTTCCCACGGTCTCTCCAGAAATAGAAACCCTAGCATTTAGTAATGTCTTAATACAGTTTTTTTTGGGGGGGGGGTGTTTGTGTGTGTCAGTCCTTAAAATTCAACTGTGCAAAGATTTAAGCCTGTCCCCCGCTATTCACATAGGCTGGGAGCCCCAATGGCAGGAGACTAAGTGGGCTGAGCCCCTGCAACGGGGGCCAAAACCAAAAGCCAGTTGAATCATTTACATTGACAAATACTGGCACATATGTATGCATTTTGGAAATTTGCAGCAGTTTGTAACGTTAAGAGAGGTGTTTTAAACAAAAAACACTTTATACACTCAAGAGCGTTCCCTTAGTGCAGGCTCATGGTTGTTTCCTTTTCTAGAGGCATAAATGTTATCAGCAGATGTACAATCCCCCCGAAGGCTTCAGGCCTCCTCCTGACTGTTGAAATGCTCCTGGGGAGACTGTAAGCAGCACCTCCTCCGCTCCCAGTCAGGAAAAGGGGATGGCAAGGGGTGCTTCATGGCGCAACTTGCAGCTGCAGTTTAAAGTGCCTTAAAAGTGCCATTTCATAGGGCAACACGGACAGCACAACCAAGGTTGGTGGTGGTTCTGCATATTCCTGCCTAGCAGCGCGTTGGGCTGGATGACCCTTGAGGTCCCTTCAAGATAGATATATACACCATCATATGACTCTTTGGAATGTGCTTCAGAAAGAAGAACCAGAAATAGTATTCCTTTAAGTTAGTTGTATGATGGCAAGGGTGCCTCACTTTAGGCTGTGACACCTAGCAGTTAAATGCTACCACCTTTTGGTACTGTGAACACCAAGCTTGCAGGGGGATCTCCATAAGGGACGCCTGTATATTCCTAAGAGCTGCAAAGTGCAACACAAAGAAGAAACAGAAAAACATACCTCCAGGTTAGTTGTATGATGGCCAACCACTTAGTCATGTTGGCCACATGACCCGGAAGCTGTACGCCGGCCAATAAAATACGTAGCGCAACCCCAGAGTCGGCCACGACTGGACCTAATGGTCAGGGGTCCCTTTACCTTTACCTTTGACAGAGGTCAGAAGTTGTAAGTCTGCTGTTGTAAGTCTAGGGGTTGGGGTTTGGGTTGTTGTTAGGGTAGGGGGTTAGGGAGAGGCTTGGGGTTAGGCTTAAGGGTCAGGGTCTCCCCCTGACTGTTGAAATGCTCCCAGGGAGGATGTAAGCAGAACTTCCTCTGTTTCCAGTCAAGAATAGTGATGGCCATGTTGGCTTCATGGCTGACCTTGCAGCTGCAGGAGAGGTGTGCATCCCTGAAGTATACTTAAGCAGCCTTCAAAGTGCCATTTAAGAGGGCAACATTTGCTGCACAACCAAGGTTGCGGGATTGTTCCCCGTAAGGGGCTCCTGCATGTTCCTGCAGAGGGAGGGAGGGAGAAGAGGGGATCTTTTGAGACCAGATGCCAGTGCCCCAAATATGCCAGTGCCAGGGCTCTCCTGCTGCTGCCTTTTGGGGCGTGAGGGGGAAAGGGGATATTTGGGCACAAGATCCAAACAGCTCCTTTAACCAAACACCTGATTCACCAGCAGCGTGGCAGCGAAAGGAAAGAGAAGAAAGAGAGGCAAGGCAGCTGCCAGACATCTCCATGAAGTTACAAAAGGCAGGTACATCTGTCATAGTGCACTTCCATCCACTGGAAAAGATTCTTATCAGCAAGGAGCAAAGTGAACGGTGGGCAATACCTATCTATCTCTTAATTGGTAAGACTGCACAGTCGCTACACCTCCACAAGGCTTGGTCCTTTCCACAGGGGCAGCCTGCCTTTTACAAAGGTGGATTTCAGCTCAAACAGCTGGCTGAAAAGTCTCTTTTCCTATCCTCGCACCCATAACCCTGGCAACCTCCCAGAGAACAGTCTCTATTCTTCAATGGTCATGGAGATTGCAATTTCCCATGGTCGCTCCAAAAATGGAAACACTATTATTTAGTAATGTCTCAATACAGTTTGGGGTGTGTGTGTGTGTGTGTGTGTGTCAGTCCTTAAAAATCAACTGCAATGTGCACTACAGGGGCGAAGCAAAGATTTAAGACTGTCCCCCGCTACGCACCCAGACTGGTAACCCCAATGGCAGGAGACTAAGTGGGCTGAGCCCCTGCAACAGGCCACAACCAAAAGCCAATTGAATCATTTAGATTGACAAATACTGGCACGTATGTATGCGTTTTGGAAATTTGCAGCAGTTTGTAAAGTTAAGAGGGGTGTTCTGAAGAAAGGCACTTTATATACTCTTGAGCATTCCCTTAGTGCAGGCTCGTGTTTGTTTCCTTTTCTGGAGGCATAAATGTTCTTAGCAGATGTACAATCCCCCCCCCCCGAAGGCTTCAGGCCTCCTCCTGACTGCTGACATGCTCCTGGGGAGACTATAAGCAGCACCTCCTTCGCTCCCAGTCAGGAAAAGGGGATGGCAAGGGGTGCTTCATGGCACAACTTGCAGCTGCAGTTTAAAGTGCCTTAAAAGTGCCATTTCATAGGGCAACCTTGACAGCACAACCAAGTACAGAAAGGTAGGCGTGTTGGTCTGCCATAGTCAAAACAAGTATCTGAAGAAGTGTGCATGCACACGAAAGCTCATGCCAAGAGCTAACTTAGTTGGTCTTTAAGGTGCTGCTGGAAGGAATTTTGTTTTGTTTTGAGCACAACCAAGGTTAGTGGCTATTCTGCATATTCCTGCCTAGCAGTGGGTTGGGCTGGATGACCCTTGGGGTCCCTTCCAGATATAGATATAAATGTAGTATCATTTGATTCTTTGGAATGTTCTTCAGAAGGAACAAACAGAAATAGCATTCCTTTAAGTTACGGGACGTGGGTGGCACTGTGGGTTAAACCACAGAGCCTAGGACTTGCCAATCGGCGGTTTGAATCCCTGCGACGGGCTGAGTTCCCATTGCTGGACCTAGGTTCCAACCTAGCAGTTGGAAAGCACGTCAAAGTGCAAGGAGATAAATCGGTCCCGCTCCGGCAGGAAGGTAACCGGTGTTTCCGTGCGCTGCTCTGGTTTGCCAGAAGTGGCTTAGACATGCTGGCCACATGACCTGGAAGCTATATGCCAGCTTCCTTGGCCAATAAAGCGAGATGAGCGCCGCAACCCCAGTCGGCCACGACTGGACCTAATGGTCAGGGGTCCCTTTACCCTTACCTTTGACAAAGGTCACAAGATGAAAGTCTGCTGTTGTAAGTCTAGGGGTTAGGGAAAGGGTTAGGCTTCGGGGTCAGGGCCTCCCCCTGACTGTTGAAATGCTCCCAGGAAGAATGTAAGCAGCACTTCCTCTGTTTCCAGTCAAGAATAATGGATGGCCATGTTTGCTTCATGGCTGAACTTGGAGCTGCAGGAGAGGTGTGCATCCCTGAAGTAGGCTTCAAAGTGCCATTTAAGAGGGCAACATTTGCTGCATAACCAAGGTTGCAGGATTGTTCCCCGTAAGGGACTCCTTTGATGCAGCGGGTTGGACTGGATGACCCTTGGGGTCCCTTCCAGAGGTTTATATACCATCATTATTCTTTGGAAAGGGTTTGGCAGATCCTGTGCCTGTTTTTACGCGGACCCCTCTTTCAGTTCTCCTGAAAAGAATCCCCCCCCCCCGTTATTTCTCAGGTCTCTCTGGGCTGTGCTGAATTCCTTCTCCCAAAATGGGGGAGGAGAAGGAAGGGGGACGTTTTGCCTGACAGGGAGGGAGAAGAGGGGCCCTCCTGCTGCTGCCTTGTGGGGTGAGAGGTGGAAAGGGGATCTTTTGAGACAAGTCCCAAACAGCTCCTTTAACCAAAAACCTGATTCGCCCAGCAGCGCAACTTGCAGCTGCAGCTTAAATTGCCTTAAGAGTGCCATTTCATAGGGCAACATGCACAGCACAACCAAGGTTGGTGATCGTTCTGCATATTCCTGCCTTGCAGGGGGTTGGGATGGATGAGCAGGGGGTTGGGATGGATGAGCCTTGAGGTCCCTTCCAGATATAGATATATATGCAGCATCATATGATTCTTTGGAATGTGCTTCAGAAATAAAGGAAGAAACAGAAATAGCATTCCTTTAAGTTACGGGGCGCGGGTGCCACAGGGCTCCCTTTACCTTTGACAAAGGTCAGAAGTTGTAAGTCTGCTGTTGTAAGTCTTGGGGTTGAGGTTTGGGTCATTGTTAGGGTCGGGGTTAGGGAGAGGCTTGGGCTTAGGGGTCAGGGTCAGGGCCTGGGAGGATGTAAGCAGCACTTCCTCTGTTTCCAGTCAAGAGCAGCGGATGGCCATGTTTGCTTCCTGGCTGAACTTGCAGCTGCAGGAGAGCTGTAGATCCCTTTACTTAAGCAGCCTTTCAAGTGCCATGTAAGTGCCATTTAAGAGGGCAACATTTGCTGCATAACCAGGGTTGCAGGATTCTTCCCCATAAGGGACTCTTGCATAAGGGACTTCTTGCTTAGCAATACAAATGATGGATGCCTGTTTTATACTCCTACTCTTTCAGTTCATCTCAAGGAAATCAGGCCCACTGATATTTCTCTGTATGGGCTGTGCCTTGTTTCTTAATGTCAGATTTTGTGGATTAATTATCACCCATATGTTTTGGGCACAAGCCTATTTATGCATGGAAAACGAATGGGCGGGGGGAAATGAGTGTTCCAGAAGTGAGTGGGCTTCACTGCACATACTTCCAGGCAGAAGGGGGAGATGGAGGGAAAGCTTTGCGCCCCCCCCATCTGTCTCCCCCCCCCCATCATGGCGGACAAGGTCTTCATCCCACCTCCAGCACCTGCCCGGAAGAGGAGCAGCACCCATACTGAGAACGGTAGGAGCCAAATTGTCCAGGGATCCTCTGGGTTTGAGAGGGTGAGCGTTGGGATGGACCCCTGTCTCCTAAAGCAGTGCGCTTTCGCCAGGATCGGTCTGCGGTTTCCTTCACCAACACCAGTGTGCAGCTGGATGCACAACTGTAGAAACGAGCCAGAATAAACAGGCTTCCCAAAAAGTATAGTCTTCATCTCCCAACCCTAATTCTCCTAACCCCTGAGTCAGGAAGACAGTTTTGTTTTGGGTGTGCCCTGCAATGCACACCTGAGGCTGCAGGTGCAGGAAAATCTCTTCATGAGATGTTTTACCTAATGAAAATGGTACTTCTAGACAGGTGCACAACAACCTGGACAATTTGGGGTTGGAGTAAAAAAGGCCATGGAAAATATAGTTTGTGACTAGGTGTCAAAGGTCAGAAAGAATAGACGTGGGTGGCGCTGTGGGTTAAACCACAGAGCCTAGGAATTGCCGATCAGAAGGATGCTGGTTCAAATCCCCGCGATGGGGTGAGCTGCTGTTGCTCGGTTGCTGCTCCTGCCAACCTAGTAGTTTGAAAACACGTCAAAGTGCAAGGAGGTAAATAGGTACCACTCTGGTGGGAAGGTAAAACGATGTTTTCCATGTGCTGCTCTGATTCGCCAGAAGCGGCCTAGTCATGCCACATGACCCGGAAGCTGTACGCCGGCCAATAAAGCGAGATGTGTAGCGCAACCCCAGAGTCAGCCACAACTGGACCTAATGGTCAGGGGTCTCTTCACCTTTGACAGGTCAGAAGTTGTAAGTCTGCTGTTGTAAGTCTAGGGGTTGGGGTTTGTGTCATTGTTAGGGTCGGGGTTAGGGAGACAGTTGGGGTTAGGCTTCGGGGTCAGGGCCTCCCCCTGACTGTTGAAATGCTCCCAGAGAGGATGTAAGCAGAGCTTCCTGTTTCCAGCCAAGAATAATGGACGGCCATGTTGGCTTCCTGGCTGAACTTGCAGCTGCAGGAGAGGTGTGCATCCCTGAAGTATACTTAAGCAGCCTTCAAATTGCCATTTAAGAGGGCAAATTTGCTGCACAACCAAGGTTGCAGGATTGTTCCCCGTAAGGGACTCCTGCATCTTTCTGCGATGCGGGTTGGACTGGATGACCCTTGGGGTCCTTTCCTGAGGTTTATATTCCATCATTATTCTTTGGAAAGGGCTTCAGAAAGAAGAAAGAGAAATAGTGTTAAATGTTCTTAGCTTATGTACAATCCGCTCCCAAGCAAGGGGTGCTTCATGGCGCAACTTGCAGCTGCAGTTTAAATAGCCTGAAAAGTGACATTTCATAGGGCAACCTTGACAGCACAACCAAGGTTAGTGGTTATTTTCATGCAGCACCATATAATTCTTTGGAATGTGCTTCAGAAAGAAAAAATAAAAGTATATGGTATGATGGCAAAGTTGCCTCAATTTAGGCTGTGACACCTAACAGTTAAATGCTACCACCTTTTGGTACTGTGAACACCAAGCTTGCAGGGGGATGTCCATAAGGGACGCCTGCATATTCCTAAGACGCAAAGGGTTGGGCTGGATGACCCTTGAGGTCCCTTCCAGATATAGATATAAATGTAGTATCATTTGATTCTTTGGAATGTTCTTCAGAAGAAACAAACAGAAATAGCATTCCTTTAAGTTACGGGACACTGGTGGTGCTGTGGGTTAAACCACAGAGCCTAGGACTTGCCGATCAGAAGGTCAGCGGTTCTAATCTCTGCAACGTTGCTGGGTCCCTGCTCCTGCCAACCTAGCAGTTGGAAAGCACGTCAAAGTGCAAGGAGATAAATAGGTCCCAGTCCGGCAGGAAGGTAACCGGTGTTGCCGTGCGCTGCTTTGGTTCGCCAGAAGCGGCTTGGTCATGCTGGCCACATGACCCGGAATCTGTACACTGGCTCCGTTGGCCAATAAAGCGAGATGAGCGCCGCAACCTGTCGGCCATGACTGGACCTAAGGGTCAGGGGTCCCCTTATCTTAAGCTTTATGATGGCAAAGTTGTTTCACTTTAGGCTGTGACACCTAAGTGATGCCCTGCTGGAAAGTGCTATACAAGGAATAAGCAGAAAATAAGAATAACCAGAAAAACATACCTCCCAGTTGTATGATGGTCAATCACTTCCCCTTCCCTTTATTTAGGGGTTTGGGGTTTAGCGTTAGGGAGTTAGGGTTAGAGGGTTAGGGTCGGGGTAATAATAATGATAATAATAATTTATTATTTGTACCCCGTTCATCTGGCTGGGTTTCCCTAGCCACTTTGGGCGGCTTCCAACAAAGATGAAAAATACACTAAAATGTGACATATTAAAAACTTCCCTGAACAGGGCTGCCTTCAGATGTCTTCTGAATGTCAGGTAGTTGTTTATCGCTTTGACATCTGATGGGAGGGTGTTCCACAGTAACTTGGCCTCTCGCAGTGAGGGAACCGCCAGAAGGCCCTCGGAGCTGGACCTCAGTGTCCTGGCAGAACGATGGGGGAGGAGATGCTCCTAACTCCGTTAGGGTTGGGGTTTTAGGGTTGGGGTTAGGGGTAAGGGTTACCGCTGCTTGACCAAAGTTTGTCTACTAGAATTTCCTAACTTCACTACAGGTCCCATCGCTGCATTTCAGGGGTCAGACTAGATTCCTCTTGAGGTCCCATCTCTGCATTTCAGGGGTCAGACTAGATGCCTCTTGAGGTCCCATCTCTGCATTTCAGGGGTCAGACTAGATGCCTCTGAGGGTCCCATCTAGAAGCCATTTGAGTAATTCAGGTAGGAATAGTTAATATTTACAAACCAGCAACTTCACACCAGTTTTGGACACTTAGAGGTGCTCTAAAGAAAAGCACTTTCTACATTTATGAGCCTTCAGAGTAGGCTCTGAAAGTTTGAAAGGGGAAATAATTTTAAGGCCAAATTCAAATTCCTGCTTGAAATAACTTTCACCAAGAAATTACCATGAATTCTTTCCCAGCACCGGCCACACGGGGTCACTGTTTATTTTCCTATTGATGTCTATTCCAGCCTACTAAGTCTAAGACAAATATATTGGGAACAGGGAGAAAGACTGGGAGAAATGAGATAAATTAAAAGTTTGAAAGGGGAAATATTTTTAAAACCAAATTCCTACTTGGAAATAACTTTCACCAAGAAATTATCATGAATTATTTTCCAGCACCGGCCACACGGGGTCACTGTTTATTTTCCTATTGATGTCCTTTCCAACACTGGCCACATGAAAATTACAAATATAAGACTTTGCAAGTCAAGTATGGATTAACCAGTGAAACGCAATGGCAATACATTCAATTGAAACATATGCTGGAAAATTTTGCCCTGACGCTGTAGCTGCACCGGAAACACCCAGGCTGCTACAAGATTTCATTTCTGCAAATCAAACCAAGAACTTCGGGAACGGCTGGGCGACGAAGCAACGCCTGGTGGATGGGAATGAAATGGGGAAATGGGTCCTCATGATGCATCTAGTCTGACCCCTGAAATGCAGAAATCTAGTTTAGACCCTGCTGCCCTCAACCAACATGGCGGCCCTGCCGCCTCTTCCGCCCTTACTTTCCGCTCCCTCTTTCCAGTCCCCTTGCCCTCGCCCAAAATGGCTGCCCTAGCAACCCTCTTGCTCGACGCACGCGCGGCTATAGGTCGGCCTTTGGGCCAATCCCAGGCCAGGCTGTGGGCGGGGCTAGCCGTTTCCCGCTTTTTCACCTCCCAGCTGCTGCTCCTCAGCTGTTTCCCACGCCCTTTGGGCGCCTTTTTCATAGAAATAAATTATTATTTTTTAAATCATTTTTATAAGAAAAGGATTTGGGAAGTTTGCTATATATTCTGTTTTTCGCCTTTTCCATATTCTGTGGGGAGTGAAGGGGAATAAATGAGGATTATCCTTCATTTTTAATTATTATTATAGTTATTCCTATAAAAGGGTGAGGGAAGTTTGTAGTATATTATTTTTTAAAATTTATTCTATCCTGTTCTTATTCCCTTCTATTATCCTATTCTATCATTCTTATTCTTAATATTATTATTCTGTTGGTGGCTGGGGAATTATCATAAATTACCATGATAAATTAATAAATTATCATTAATTTTCACATTATTATTCTATTCTATTATCTATTCTTCTTATCCTATCCTATTTTATTCTTTTCTATCCTATTCTTATTCTATTATCCTATCCCATTCTATTCTTAATGTTGTTGTTGTTATTATTATTAATATTAGAGGGTGAGTGAAGTTTGTAGCATATGTTTTATCATTTTTTATAATAGGTTAGTGGCTGGGGAATGATAATAAATTATCATTATTTTTTAAATTATTCTATTATCCTATTCTTATTCTATTCTATTCTTATTCTATCCTATCCTTAATATATTCCATTCTATTCTTATTGTATTCTATCCTATATTATTATTATTCTATTATTATTTTAATTATCCCCTCCTATTCTATTCTTCTTATTATTATTCTAATTAACCTTTTCTATTCTAATGCTATTCTATCCTATTCTTATTCTATTCTATTATCCTATTCTATTGTATCATTATTCTATTATTCTTCTTATTATTATAAAAGGTTGAGGGAACTTTGTCGCATATCATGATCATTTTTAAAATATTCTGTTGGTGGCTAGGAAAGAGTAATGCATTATTATTATTATTATTATTATTATTATTATTATTATTATTATTATTCACACCCACCCAAGTGGGACACGGACTCTTTCCCCCTAAGCCTTAACAGTCTAGTATTTTTATTTATTCGAATTGTATCTTGGAAACTGTATCTGAAACAATGTATTTGTTGCGAAAATTACAGACTACATGTTACAAATATTTTGCCTGAATGTATCCTTTCCACTTGACAGTGGAAGTTAAAAATAAATATAAATATAAATATATTTATAAATATAAAAAGAATATAAAAGCCACTCCTTTGCCACTTTCCTCCCTTCCAAAGCTCTTTTCCTCTCGAAAAGGGACTCCAGGAAGGGATTGCTGGCCAAGGAAATTATTATTATTACTATTATTATTATTATCCCATCCCCAAACTTGCCCATAATTATAATTATTCTTATAAAAGGGTTAGGGAAGTTTGCAGTATATGATCTTTTCTCTTTTTTAAAAAATATGCTGTTGGTGGCTGGGAAATTGTAATTATGATGATCCTTAAAGGTTAAATTATTATTATTATTATTATTATTATTATTATTATTATTATTATTAATCACACCCACCCAAGTGGGACATGGCCTCTTCCCTCCTACGCCTTCACAGTATAGTATTTTTTTTTATTGGAATTGGGAGAAGCAACTTCCAGAGTAACTGGCTGTGCTAATAATAATAATAATAATAATTTATTCTTTATATAAAATAAAGTTCAGATCTCCCTTGCTTTCCCCCTCAGGCCACCTTGAAAGTCTTGAAAACTGTACCTGAAAGGTGTATTGAAATGTATTGAAAATGTATTTAATGTATTGGAAACTATCTAAACAGTGTATTGTTCAGATGAATCTCTGCTTTAAGCGGTGGTTTTGTAACCAGCTGATTCCTCCAGATCCCAGTTCCTCCACTAATTATAATTATAATTATAAAATTATAATTATAATCATAATTATAAAATTAAAATTATAAAATTATAATTATAAAATTATAATTATTATTGTTATTATGAAATGAACCCTTGTGGTTCCTTCGCAGATTCCTGCCTTGCAGCGGGTGGGACTGGATGACCCTTGGGGTCCCTTCCAGCTAAATGCATAATAATAATAATAATAATAATAATAATAATAATAATAATAATAATAATATAATAATAATAAATTATATGATTCTTGGGAAAGGGCTTCAGAAAGAAGAAACGGGGAAAGCACATTTCTTCCAGTTTGTCGTCTGCTGGCTCCTTTCCCACTTGATTCTTTCTCCCACTGCAATCTGGACTGGATATATTCTAGGTCTGCTTGGACGGGGATCCCTCTTTCCCTTCTTGCGAAAATAATGGACATTATTGATATTTCTTAGGTCTGAATTCCTGCTCTGAAAAGGAGAAGGAAGAAGCTTCGCCAGACGAGGGAGAAGAGGAGGTGGAGGAAAAGTCATGAAGGTAAAAGGGGGGAAAATAGAAAAGAGAAAAAGAGAAATAGAAATTAACATATAACACTTAAGAACATTTTTAAACAACCCCACACCTGATATATCACACCGACCCCCCAAACAGTGCAGTAAAAATACAGTAAAGTGTTTTTATTTATTTGATTGGGGTGGGGCAGCACCTCCTGGCTTCCCCCATGTTGGTGAGGTTTGTCTCCTTTTTCCTGTTCTTGTTAGGCTATCTAAAGGGGACAAACCAATGTGTGGAAAACTTAATTTCTTTAGATGAACCATTGTTTTAACCAGGTAATTGATTCTTTCTCTTATCGATTTATCCACATAATCCAAGCAGAGATGAATTAGCCTCCAAAACTGGTACGCTTGCACGTTACATCTTGAGATAAATGTTTTGGAAGAGGCATTTGCAAGCAAGCCCAGTGAATTAGAGAGGCAGGGAGCTGGCTGGTTTGTCTAATGGAGCATCCCTAAACCCAGTTTGGGTCTACAGCCCCTGCTGTAGTGGCCAGCACTAGAAGCCATTTGAGTAATTCAGATCAATAAAGTAGGAGTAGTTAATATTTACAAACCAGCAACTTCACCCCAGTTTGGGACACTTGCAGCACAGAGGTGCTCCAAAGAAAAGCACTTTCGACATTTCTGAGCCTTCAGAGAAGACGCATGGTTTTCCCTTTGCCTGGAGGTATACATGTTGTCAGCAGATGTACAGTCACCCAGAGAACTTCAGGCCGCAAAAGGGGATGGCAAGGGGGGCTTCATGGCGGGACTGCACTGGCAGCTGCAGGAGAAGGGTGGATCCCTCAGTGGATCCCTGAATCACCTTCCAAGGGCCATTGAAGAGGGCAGCGTCCAGCTGTGCTGGGGACACAAAGGGGGTGAGGTGGCCAATTCCTGCCTGGTAGCAGGTTGGGCTGGATGACCCTTGGGGTCCCTTCCCGATATATAAAGAAGAAAGGGAAGGAGCCTTCCTGGAAGGGAGGTGTGGTTGTCGGCAGGCAGAGGGGAGCAAGGCCAGCTGACCAGCCCCAGCAGGATCGTCCCCTTCCAGCCGTCCCCCTGAGAAGACCCATCTGCCTCTGCTCCGATGTAAATCAGTGTCCTAGAGCAACACAATATGAGTATGG